CAAAATATGAAAGGATATTTGCTGGACACCAAACATGCAGTCCGCTGAATATTCACTGCCCCACAGGATGTTTCATAAGATTTCTGAAACAGTAATGTAGAGAATTTCAGGAGATGCATGACTCTACAGAAGTCTGATCCAGTTCCAGCCAGCGCTATGAAAACTCTCCAATACAATCTAGGTGTTAAATTTAGAAAGGACAATAGAAAAGATCTTTTAAAAAGTTTATTAAACTAATTTTTTAGTTCTGGAATGCTAAATTGAGGAAGAAGGGAAATAATTAAAATGTTTTGTCATCGGAATCTTTCATTTTATTAATAACATTAATATAGCAATGCTAATATTGGCTAGCTCTCACCCACATGTGGTTCAGCCTTGGGTTTGGCATCCAGGTCACCTGGCCATGTGGCATAAAGAATGTGTCAGGTGCAGCCTGGCTCACAAATACTGCTTCTGCCATTTGGGCAAGTTCATTAAGCTCAATTTTATCTTGACACTGCAAATCCAGCACACCTGAACTGCGGGGTGGTTCTGTGGGTGCCCATCCTTTGTCAGAGCCATCATCAGGAAGGGAAGCTGGAGTGCTCTGGTGCCACAGTGGTGGCCAGACCCTGCCTGGAGCCAGGGATCAGGGTCAGGCAGGGCTGCCTGGAGCCCACCTGCAGCCTGGTCACAACTGGTCTTTTTTCTACCAAAGAATTATAAAATTACTGCTGAGTAAACATTTAATTTCATTTAATTGAGATTTATATAGTCCTTCATTTTTCAAGGCTGGGTTGGATGGGGCTTGGAGCAACTGGTCCAGTGGGAGGTGTCCCTGCCCATGGCAGGGGGTAGAATGAGATGGTCTTTAAGGTCCCTCCCAACCCAAACCGTTCTGTGGGATTTTTTCAATGAGGAAAACACCCACAATGAGTTGAGGGTTTTTTTTCAATTACTGCAAACTAAGCAGAGATGCCCATATCTTTATTTCTCTTTCTTTCTTTCTTTCTCTTTTCTCTTTTCTTTTCTTTTCTTTTTTTCTTCTTTCTTTTTCTTTCCTTCTTTCCTTTCCCTCTTTCTTTCTCTCTCTCTCTTCCCTTCAGACTTTACCAAAGGTGATTAGAATTCCTACAGCTTTTGTAAAGGAGAACAGTAATTTTTTTACTATTTTCTTGGAATTGTGTGCTCTTCATGGCAGCTTTTATCCTTTCCAAAATTCAAAACTTTCTTTAAAACCAGCTCTTGCTTTTACATCAGAACAAACTTCAAGCCCTGCCAGCAGTCACAGCCCTCATTTTATTAAAGCCATTTTCACTTTGTGATGAGGAGACCTGCTAATGATGGGATCTCCATGCCTAATGGAAGGCTCTTTCCAGAATTAGCTTTGATTGACTTCCTGGTTGGAGTCTGCAGACGGAGATTTGCTCCCCACATCCTTGCAGGCAGCCAGGGGCGATGCTCTGATGAGCTGTCCTTGGCTGACTTGGGAGCCCCTCGCAGGCAATTGCTGCAAAAAGCCCCTTGCTGCACCCCAAGGGAGCAAGGGGAGCAGAGGAATGACAGGGGAGCAGGGGAATGACAGGGGAGCAGAGGAATGACGGCTCATGAGGATCTCCCGTGGGCATTTCAGGAACAGCAGCACAGGTCTGACCAGGAAAAATTCCTACTTCGAGTAACAAATGAGCAGAAGAGCCTCCCCCAGGCAAAGGTGTTGCTCCCATGTAATGAGCTTTGTAAAAAATAGAAAGGAAGGGATTATTTTTCAGGTTTCCATCGGCGTCCTGGGCTGTGTGACAGAGAGTGGGGTGGTGGCAGAGGATGGACATGCTGGAGTTATTCCCAAGAGTCTTCTACAGCAGGATTATCAGACTCAACAGGGCAATGGAAATGAGAAAGATTAGATTTCCCTGCAGGGAAATCCTTTGGGAGTCTCAGGATATCTTTTAAGGCTGAGGACTGTTTCTTAGGCTAATGCAGATGAAGTTTAATGTGCCCCCAAGAAGGAGATCCAGCATTTCATGTTACTACAAACACTCCTTGAATCACCAGGTGTTTTCACATCCAAGAGAACTTCCTTGGGGACTCAGTGACTCAGACACAGCACCAAACCCCAAATCCCTGCTGATGCCCAGGCACAGGAGGGCCAGGAGAGGAGCTGGAGCCAGGCACTGCCAGCACCTGCCAGCCTGGCCAGGGACAAGCTCATCCGAGCTCCTCTCTGCTCACTGTCAGCTGAATTTCCATGTTAACCTATGGAAAATCCTGCTGTTCTCAATTTACTAAGTATTTACAAAGTATTTGCTTATCTGGCTGGTGATGGACCTGTCACGCCACTTTCTGTCAGCCTGTTATTGGCTGTGCTGAGGCTGATCTCCATCTTACTGGTGACACCAAGTGCTCCAGGGTCTGATCCCAGCTTTGCAAGTCACTCCAGGCAAATCGTTCAGCTCCTCCAAATCTCAATTTCATGGTTTGTAGGATGGAAAAAACAATAACAACTATCCTCCTCCCTGAGGGCGTTGTAAAAACAACTGTCTGAGGAGCACATGGGGCGTTAGAGATTGGAAAGATGGCATTTAATTCAGTATTATTCATTGTCAGTGTTCTTGCTGTTTTATATTAGTCTTGACACAGGCACATCCCATCGATTTCTCTCTATGTCTCCATCAGGAAATGCTTTTACAGGATGTTCATAGTTTCCATTTTTGTTGTCCATAAAGTTTCACCATCATTCAGTGAGGTCTTGCCTCTGTAATTCCTAACTGAATCCTAAAAAGACTTTCTTTTCTTGTACTTGCAGCTTGCAGCAAATCTGTAAAATGCTCTCCAAAACCAGTGTTTGTCCATCTCTTGGAGAGAAAATTTGTCCATGTTTCACAGACACAAATGTGTGTAGCAAAGGGTAAATAACAAGCAATAAGTTACCTTACAGTTCTGTGGTATTTTCCTTCTTCAGAGCACTATAATGTCACACAGGGATCATTTGTGCTGAGCTTGGACTTTGCTCTTGCCTGTGATAACAGGGTTACACTGAGCTGTATGCAGAATTAAAGCCTTTTTCATTGATGCAAATATATGTTGATGAATATCCCCTGCTAAGGTCCTGCCAGGGGAACTGAATCCACTGATTACAAACCAGGCTCTTCCATCAGCTCTCCCAGCTGTTTCTCCTCAGGATTTCATCTCAGGCTGCTCCTGCTGATTGCTGTAAATATCTCAGCACGGGGTGACAGATCCCAGAGATGACTGAGTGTTCTGCTGGATCCATCTCTCCCTGCGCCCTTTTGGCTGCAGAAGGGGCCACGTCTCTGTGCTGCCAGCAGAGCAAATTAGTCTTGGACTGACGTCTTCTTTTAGCCTCCTACTTATATTTAATCAGTTATATTTGTGGTTTGCAGAAAGCTTTTCAGTGTTCATACACTTGGGGCATTCTGCAGATGGTTCAAGACTTAAAAAGCCATTTACAGCTAAAGTATTACAACTCTCTTCTGATGCAAAAAAAAAAGAAAAAGGCAGCACATTAGCAGTTTGCTCAGAATTTCCAGCCTGCAGCTTTGCCCACTGCCAGAGAATCTTAAACAGCTTGAGGCTCAGGTACATTTTTCCTTTATCTGCTCTTCATTTTTGAGATAGCTCTGGTTTGCTTGGCCTGGAAGACTTTCCCCAGGGAAGGTCTGTCATCCCAGCAAAGGGAGAAGCACAATACAGTCCATGAACTCTGCACTCTGCTGTGTCTCGTTTCCTGCCCTTTTCTGTAATTGCTGAATGATGATACAGAGTGATAAAATCTCACACTCCCTTCTCTGGAAAGACCTGGCAGGTTCCCCACTTCTTCGATCTCCTTTGCCTGTCCTGTCATGCCCAGCGTGACATCATCAGCTCTTTCCAAAGCTGCTGGGGCCAGGGAGCACCCTGGGGAGTGCACATGGGACTGTGATGCTGTGGGGAGACTCAGGGAGGATGAATGAACCACTGATCACCCAAAGGAGGAGCGAGCTGAGCCTCAGCTGCAGGAGCCTCTTGTCCATTGCTATAAGGGAAGCTGATTTAATGCAAACTGCTCCCTCTCACTTTGATCTGAGCCCCAGATCTGTATCCTTGAGGTGTGGGATGGACATAAGCCGATGCACAGGGCTCCCAGCTACCACAGACTAAAAAGCATGAAGTTGGGTCAAAGTGATTCCATCAGGCTTTTGGCTCTAAAACAATTTCCTCTCCTCTCTGGCCCTGCCTTGGTCGCTCTCCAGCAGGCGAGTGGGCACAGGCACAGCCAGAACCTGCTGCTGCCCAGCTGAGTCACTAATCCTGAGCAGCAGCTCAGCCTCAGGCGTCATTTCTACCTTGTGTGTTTCAGGAAGGGTTTTAGCAGTGATCTGTTACACACGACAGTGATAGAAATTATTGCTGCTCATCCCTGTGCAGATTAAGCAATGGTTACTTTAGTTCCTCAAGTGCAGCCCTGGGGCAGCATGAATAGCTCTGTAAAATTTTTGTGCCTGATAGTGTGATTTAAAGAGTCAAAAGAGACAGAAGGCCTGTAGGGATGAGGTTTGCCAACCAGCTGGCTGCTGGGCTCATGTCTCAGAGAGAGCACCTGACAGCAGCAGTCTTGCTGAAGCTAGCTAAGTTCTGCTTACAGGAGAAAGTGACTTTTTATGATCCTAAGAGTTAGAGAACTGAGCTTTATTTTGTTTGCTTTAATTACCAGTCCCGTGGCACACTGACCTCAAACCTCATCATTCCATAACTGCCTTCATTTTGTATCACACAGTTTATGTCTTAGCCAATCCCATGTATTTACAAGCACTGAGTTCATTAGAAAAAACTGTCTCCAATTATGTTCATCCCAGGCAGAGCCCCTGTCCCTCCAGGTGGAGCCCATGTCCCTCCATTCCCCTCCTGTCACTGGCTTCTTGTGATTTCGTACTTTCCCTGGCAGGAACACAGAACCCAGAGGCTTTGAGGGATCACGTGTCAATGATCAGACAAGTCTGCAGTTGCACGAGCGAGAAAAAAAAGCTTTATTAAGTGTGTCCAGAGACACCTGCATGGAATGAGAGCAACACATGAAGAAGAGCAGGTGAAGAGAGCATTCAGGGACGCAACCCGACCACGCATGGCCTCGGGCACTTCTTGGCTTAGCCTGCTGCTCTCCCGAGCCAGGGGCTGTCCTAGCGAGTGGTGAGGGCGACCTGCTCCCGGGAGGAGACCACCTTCCCGTCCTGCACCTCCTCGACGATCGTGCGCACCTGGCGGGACGTTGTGGTGACTGCAGAGGAAAGGGCGACAATTATTCACGGCAGGAAGGAGAGAAATTGCTTAAAACATTATCAGATATTGCACATTCTTCAAGAGCTGGTGGAAATTCCACAAGGGAGTGGAAAATGCTGCTTTAAGCAGCCCTGCTTTGACTGGGAAGGGGAGAGAACCAGGCTGAGAGGAAAGGTGGGTTCTTACCATCTCTGCCAGAGTGTGAGGACATGGCCGAGGAGTACTGGGAGGAGATGCTACAAGAGAAGCACAAAACGAAAGAGATGTCAGGGACAAATATTGCTTGTTGCTGCTATACAGGCTTTGTGTTCAGACAGGAGAAAAACAGAGGAGGCTCATGGAGATAAAAGTGTTGATCCACTTGGCCTCTCCTGAGGAATGGAGGAACCACAGCAACATCCCACTACCGCCAGACACCAGGGACAGAGCACTGGGCACCCACAGCTGGTGTGAGCAGAGAAACGAGCCCTGACAGCTATGAGGACTGACACCCGAGGCACTTTGTGTCTATGACCCATCTCCTCCCAGCCTTCCTCCCAGCGAAGCCCCTCACGCACTGGGCGTCCTCTCCCTCCAGCAGCCGGCGGTACGTGGCGATCTCCTGCTCCAGGCGGCACTTGACGTCCAGCAGGACCCTGTACTCGTGGTTCTGGCGCTCCATGTCGCAGCGCAGCTCGGCCAGCTGCTCCTCCACGCCCGTGATCAGCATCTGCAGCTGGGCCAGCTGCGCGCCGTAGCGCGCCTCGGTGTCGGCCAGGGTGCCCTCCAGCGCCGCTTTCTGTGGGGTGGGCACAGGGATGAGCCCACGGGATGGGCTCAGGGGGCAGCCCAGTGGGCACAGCCCCCATCCCAGCAGCCCAGCCCTCGTACCGTGCTGAGCTGCGACTGCAGGTCGATCTCCAGGCTCTGGATCGTGCGCCGCAGCTCCGTGATCTCCGTCTTGCCGCTCTGCAGCTGCTCCGTGTTGATGGCCACCTCCCGGTTCAGCTCTTCTGTCTGCAGCGAGGCAAAGCCGTGCCCTCAGAGCCCTGGCAGCAGCCACGGCCCCGGCCCCGTGCTCAGCACCAGCTCCTCACCTTGCTGAAGAACCACTGCTCGGCGTCCCTGCGGTTCTTCTCCGCCAGGCTCTCGTACTGCTCCCGCATCTCCGCCAGGATCTTGGTCAGGTCGATGCCAGGAGCAGCGTCCATCTCCACGCTGATCTCCCCACCCACCTGCCCACGCAGGGCAGTCATTTCCTGACACAAAGAAGACACAACACACGTCAGAGTGACATGGCATCTTCCCATGGTGAGAAATTTCTTATCTGCACCCAGCACCGGAACCCCACAGACTTCCTGCATGTCCTGCCTGAAGGGATTATTTCTCTCCCCCTTCATGCTCAAATGTGTCCTGACAGCCCTGATTCCAGAGACTCCTGTGTGTTTGGCCTGGCTGTTTTCCTGGTGGACAAGGAACGTTTATAGATCCCAATTTGAGCCCAAATGTTCTCACCTCCTCGTGGTTCTTCTTCAGATAAGCCAGCTCCTCCTTCAGGTTCTCAATCTGCATCTCCAGGTCGGCTCTGGACAGGGTCAGCTCATCCAGGACGCGGCGCAGGCCGTTGATGTCGGCCTCCACGCTCATGCGCAGAGCCTGCTCCGACTCAAACCTGGGGACACACACACAGTTGCATATACCCACCTGATACAGCATTTTTCTTGTCTTTTCCTTCCCCAATTCAGTGTATTTTTGTCAAGAATCTTTAATTCCATGTGCATGCACAGGTCTCACAGTGCAGAAATAGCAGTGCTGTGCTCAGGAAGAGATGAACCATTCCCAAATGTCCCACTCCAGTGGAGCAGTCCCAGGTGCAGGTAAAAAGAACCTTGAACAGCCTGGCTTTCCCCCTTTTTCACAAAAGCTCTTGGAGGTGTTGGACTCACTTGGTTCGGAAGTCGTCTGCTGCCAGCCTGGCATTGTCGATCTGCAGGACGATGTTGGCATTTTCAACAGTTGCAGAAAGAATCTGATGGGGGATAAGTGAAAGAGTTAAAAAGTAATTTCAAACAGTCTGAGTGATCCCATCCAGAGAAGGACTGGAGCAGCACTGGGCCATGGGGCTGGACTTCCATGTGGGCTCTACAAAGAGGGAGAGGGGGTGCTCGTTTCCATCTCCCAGCAGCACAGGCTCGGTGCCCTGGGAACATTGCCCTGGGCATGTCACCCTGCCCAGGTGGCACCTCCAGCTGCTCACACCATGCTGAGCCCTGGCAGCACTCCAGCCTTTGGGAATGGGTGCAGCCCAGCTAGGAAGGAAAAAAGGGTTGAGGAAGGAAGGAGTGCCTTGTGCCTACCTCATTTGGCTTTCATAATTACACCTGAGGTGCAAGTATTTGCTCTGACATTATGAAAATGATTGGCCATTTAGTGAGCAGGAATTTCTGTAGCCACGAGCTAATGAAGAGCTGTTAATTCTCCTGCTTCAGGGGATATCCAAGGAATAATCCAGGAATATTGATGTGGTCATTTCCCAGCTGAGGGGGGAGAGGGAGGGAAGGATCTGCCTTCCCCTGGATCAGGCGCAGAAGGTTTCTGTGAAACCCAGCACTTCATCACTCAAACCCAGAGACAGCTCCTGCCTCCAGATGTTTCACCAACATGCTGGAATCTGCAGAGGAACTTCCTGCATCAAGGCAAGCCCTTTCTCCCAGGGTGAAGCCCAAGAAATTTTAGGAATGTGTGTTCCCCCCAGGGGCTGACCCTGCCCCATTTCCCAGGAATTTATTCTTACAGACCAGGTATGACATTGCCCAACCGCCCACACCTCATTCTCTCAGTGAGCCTGAGCTGACTGGGGATGAGTGATAAGGGCTGAGGTGGGCAAGCAATGGCAGGCCAGGGAGGGATGGGCAGATTCTGGTGTTTTGGCTGAAGGACTTTTGTTTAAAATCATCCAGGGAGCTGCTAAGAATAAAGAAATTACCTTGGCCATGACTTCATCTGCTGCATTTTACAGCAGGACACACACCTGATTTCAGCACCTACCAGAGCCCAGTGTGTTCCAACCCTGGACCGGACTCTGCGTCTGCAACTCCCAAAGAACAACCATCCCATAGGACAGTTTCTTTCTATTTTAACCTCTACCTTTACCCTCCTCACAGGATAGGGGGGGAAAAGTCTGATTTGTAGGATATTTGTGAAAATGACTATTCATCTCCATCTGCATCTCACTCAGCACTGAATAGGGCCAGGACATAACAAGTCACTGCCTGCTGAGAGCTCCATCAGGAGCCTAACAGGGAGCAGCTATGGGGCACAAGTGTTAAGAAGGATGGCAGGAGGTGACAGTGTGGCAGCAAGTATCATCAGGTAACCTGAATCTATCTGCCTCCTTTTCTGCCCCATCTTTCTCCCTACACCAGAACAGTCAGAAGAAAACCCATTCTGGTGCCTGGTGATCTGCTGTTCATAGTGACTGTTATTCCAAAGCTCTGGTTTTCATTTCAGACTAGTGACCTGCTATTTGATAAGCCTCTCCCCTCCAGCTGTTACCAACAAGGTCATCTCTTCACAAGTGACTTTGATGAAGATGTCACATTAATCCCAGCATCCTACCTTGTTCCTGAGCTCCTCAATGGTCCTGTAGTAGGGGCTGTAGTCACGCTCGGGACCAGGTCCCTGCTTCGACGATTTTCATCACTCAGAAACCTGAGCCAACTTCCAGAATCGTCATTTTTGCCTTTGTTCTAGTCATGCTTTTTGTCATATTCCACTTGAAGCTTTTTCTCTTACAAAGGGCATCTTTATGCTTCTTCCGTTTCCAAGTAAATTGTCAGGTGTGATTAAAAGGAGGAGGCTCCTTGCTCAGGGCTATGATTTAATTCCCTCTGCACTGTGAGTTTTGAAAGAGAGCAGTGCAGGCAGCATTTGAGGGAATAGCTCAGCATCTCTTCTACTGTGGCTTTTTGTCCCAGCTACAGTTTCCTGTCCCTGCTTGGGCTGCACACACACACCTGCAGGGACAGCAGCTGTGTTGTGAGGCCCTGAATGCACCTCCAAACCCCGTGAGTACAATGGTACTGGAAGGAACTTGGCTCCCAGTCCTGGAAATACAAGTCCGCTCTTTTATCCGCAGGGAGAGGGATGATCAGTCGTGAAAAAGCAATGAAAAGGGAATTTGTGCTCCAGGGCTCACTGGAGTCTTCACTTCAGAGACCACCCAAGAGTGGGGGACTGTGGAAAAGTGATAGGATGGTTTGTTTTCTTTGTGAACAAGCACTAGCAAACCATCCCAAAAAGACAGGGTATGGTAGTTAGCTAGAAATTATGAGATCTCCAGGGAAAATATGGGATAGCAGAAAGTAGATGAAGGACATAAGGAAAAAGCTCCTGGTGTTAAGCCCTGTGAACAGGAGCACAAAGCTGACAGGAGCACAGCTCAGCAGTGCTCAGTGATGTTTTCTGTGGTGTTTTTCTGCCAGTTGTGAGCAGGCAGGACAGCTTCACTGTGAGTTTGGAGTTTACAGCTCCCACCTAAACGGAGCTTCAGGAGAGACAGAGATTGTCTCTGGCAAGCAAAAAGGCTCCAGAACTGAGCACAGTGGTGTGGCCAGGCCCTGCTGACCCACAGCACAGGCAGCACCCACCAATCTGAGTGTGCCTGGCTCATCCTGCGGGGTGTGGAGGGGAAGGGATTGCTCATGTGTGCACACGGTGGATTGTTGGGCTGTCTCTGCAGACAGGCCCCAACAGCCCCTTCCCAAGAGCCAAGTTCTTCCTTAGATCATTTGCCAAAGGAGGGGAGAAAGGGTATGGAAGGAAGAACAAAGGTACATTGCTAAGGAGCTCAAAGGGCACAACTCCCTCCCCTCCATCTGCAGAAAGCTGGAGACGGTACAGCAGTGGGATGTGTCCTTGGAATATCAGGAGTTGGCTGCTGTGCAGCAGTGGTTCCCTATCTTCCCATTTGCTACTGGGGGATGGAGACAAGTCTGTGCAGCTTGGAGAGCTGGAAGATCGGGGTCCCTGGAGGACTGGAGTCACTGGAGGTTCAGGAATCCTTGGAGGTTTGGGGTCCTTGGAGGTTCAGGGTCCCTGAAGGTTTGGGGTCCCTGGAGGTTTGGGGTCACTGGAGGATCGGGGCGGAGAGCTGGAGGATCGGGGTCCCTGGAGGTCTGGAGTCACTGGAGGTTCAGGAACCCTTGGAGGTTCGGGGTCCCTGGAGGTTCGGGGTCCCTGGAGGATTGGGGTCCCTGGAGGATGAGGCTCACTGGAGGATGAAGGTCCCTGGAGCATGAGGCTCACTGGAGGATGAAGGTCCCTGGAGGATCAGGGTCACTGGAGGTTTGGGGTCCCTGAAGGTTTGGGGTCCCTGGAGGTTCAGGGTCACTGGAGGTTCGGGGTCCCTGTAGGATCGGGGTCGCTGTAGGATCAGGGTCCCTGGAGGATCAGGGTCCCTGACGGTTTGGGGTCCCTGAAGGTTTGGGGGCCCTGGAGGTTCAGGGTCACTGGAGGGTCGGGGTCCCTGTAGGATCGGGGTCGCTGTAGGATCAGGGTCCCTGGAGGATCAGGGTCCCTGAAGGTTTGGGGTCCCTGGAGGTTCGGGGTCCCTGTAGGATCGGGGTCCCTGGAGGATCAGGGTCTCTGGAGGATCAGGGTCTCCTCCGTGCTGGCTCTGGCTGTTCTGTCCCCTGGAGTCAGCGTGTTCCTGTCGTGTGAGCGCCAGGCACAGCCCCAGGGGACGCCCACTCGCTGCTCGTCCTGCCCAGGTGCAGATGGAAAAGGTGCAGCAGCGCGGGGGCGGCCGGGACGTGTCTCTCCCAGGAATGTGCTTCGTCCCCAGCTTCATTTCCTCACCTCTGCCTGGGCAATGCCGCGGTTTGTCCTCTCTGATCGCAGCGGTGATGTGGGGAAAGGGGAATGTTAGAGACAAAACCAGTACAGAGCCCCTTTGTGAGTCCAAACGCTCAGGCTTGCCCTGAGCAAAGCCCCTCAGAGTGGCACTGTGTCACACTGTCACCTATGTGTCACACAGGTGATTCACGGCTCTTCCTCTATGGGGAATTGCCTTTTCTTTCATCTTTTGTTTGCCATTGATCTGCTATGCCATAAAAACACACATTGCCCAGAATATCTGTGATACTTTGGTAATGCCACAGGGCAGCAATTGAAATCATGAGCATTAATTAAGACTTAAAACTACATTAACCACTCAAGGACGTTATTTCCATGACCTCCCATTGAACACAACCACAAGGACTGCATGTTGTTTGTATCACACCCTTTGAAGTAAAAGGCTCAGTATTAAACCAGATCCTGCCTCTCTTCTTGAGCACGTGCACGCTGTGAGCCCATTTTTAATATTATTCAAAATCAGAATTCCAGTTCTGCAGCATAACAGGAACTTCATGGTAGCACAATGGTGTTCCAACATACAATTGGTCTTACTTTGGGGAGAAAATGGAGGTGAACTTCTGGCTCCAAAATTACATATCAGCAGATGCTACCTGGATAAAACCACTTCCCCTCTTTTTATATATTTATAAAGTTTGCCCTGGAATCAAATTATCATTAAAAAGTTCCCTAAAATGAGCTGAAAACCACGCATTAATGTCTGTTTCTAAAGTGGTCTTTTCTGTCAGAGGAATTCAGTGTTGCCTGAGGAGTCAAACCATCTTTCTGAACTAAATTCCCACTTTCTGAGAGCTGCCTCAGGCTGCCACTGCCTGTCAGCGTGAGCCACCCCTGCATCTCCCTCCTCCGTGGGGTTTCCTAAGGTCAGGACTAATTATTAATGCTCAAGGCAGGAGAAAATTGACATCTGTTTTCCACACCTCCCTCACACTGTGCAGGAGTAATTAAAGCAAAGTGTTATTTGTTGTTTCTATAGGAACACAGGTGTGCCAAGACTTTTACAGGAGGAAAATATAAAGCAAGGGTGAATTCCAGAGAGGCACCTCAGCATCCCTGCACTGGCTGTTGCAGGGGCAACAGCCAGAGGGGCACAGGCATGGCAGGGGACTCAGA